GCAACTATTGCGTTGAGAGAAATCACAGGTCAAGACTCTTTCTCATGAGTGGTGCAATATTTATGGAAGTCACTGTATCTATGCAGTAAGGCGTATGAGAATCTACATAATGCGACTGTTATAATTGTTTCAACAATGGTATCGATGTAACCTAAAATAATTACCTTCTCTTCTACTGTTTATATTTATAAGCACACTTCTATAATTAAAGGTGTGAACTATTATTAATTTTGTTACTGAAACAATTGGCTAACCCTACGAAGCCGAAGAAAAAAAAACTCGAAGTTGTAAAAAAAAAGATTGAAACTTTGGAAAAAAATTTGCGTAAATAGGTCTGGTAGGCCAGGTAATATAAATCCCTCGCCTACTGATCGCATAGTTTTAGTAAATTTGTAACTATATACTAATGCATAATCAGTCGCAGTTTCTCTCATCTTCAGCAATTTCTATTCTTTTATTCAATATAATTAAAGTGGGTCTTTATATTTTAATAAACAAGCGTTGTACATATCTATTTTCCCCTCGTACGTTCTAATCAAATCGCAATTAAAGTATCCCGAATTCGCGGTTAACGAAGTCGATTTTTGTCGTCGATTTTGTAAGAACTTCGGACGCCCACCTTCATAAATAAACGGGGGCTCTTATTTTATTGGGATGTAAAAACAAGCAAAATTATTTCATACCATTGCGGCAGAAGTTCTGTTTGAAGACACGAACGTTCTCTCACGTGTTGCAAACCGTTTTCTCGAATATTGAAAGATATTGATAAACGTTTAATATTAAATGGAGATGTCAATGTCTCTAATTCTGATTCTAAAAAAACAGCACAAATCACGTCAACTTACTGAGCTTGAACTTGTGCTTCGGGAGTTTATGCGATAATTGTAGAGAATAAAATAAGATAACATGATCTTAATTAATAATTGTGACAGCTAAAACGACATCGGATTAAAACAGATATTTAGTTAAATTTAGGGGTTCAGAGGCATTAAAAGAGAATCTAAGAAGACCCAAATACAAATACGTTTATAGAGTGTATTCGGACCATGTTAGTTACGCCGAAAAATTAACAAGCAAAAGTGACGTGACGCTATTGCATGTAGTCTATCTATACGATGGGATTATGCTCCAAATATTTCCTTCTTTATTATTATATCATTAAAAAACACCACCACTGACAGTTGAAAGATGCCAAGAGAAAAAAACCCTGTTGGATATTTTCAATGTTTATTTGCTCGTGACCATAATTAGAAAATATAATAATATCATTTACAATAAATAATTCTGTACAACGAACTAGAATATGATAAGATTATGTTGTATGATACAATAAGTACACTTTTAAATAACGACACATAAGAAACCTGTTTCTTACAATAGTCTCTTGCCCAATCACAAAAATCCATCTTCACGTGGTTTAATATGTGATGGGAATAAAGCATCCACATTCTCAATTAAAAACTCGACTGCCGCATTCCTCAAACCCATATCTTTAATTTCTGTAGCAGGATCCAATCCCTTGAGTATTGTGGGTCCGAACACAATTGCGAGACTTGTACATGACATTAGATTCTCTGATCCGTTACATTTAACTTTGTGCAGATGTTCCAAGAGATAATTGGCAGTCGCATAGTTGCCAGCCGGGAGAAGGGCAACGGCTTTTTTAAACAAATCTAGCTTTTTGTCTGCATCTTGGCAGCCTGAAGTGTGAAAAAAGTGTGAAAGATAGCACATGAAAAGTTTATTGCGCATTATATTTAAGTTATGTTATATACGACTTCCTCGTCGTTATCTTACCGGCTGCCTCGATAAACTTAGGATATAGAACTGTCGTCAGAAGTGGGTCAGGTAATTCTCCGAGATATTGTTTAAGAACACTTGTTATTGCTGAAACGTCATTATATTCATCTGCATTATTTAAATCAATGTCCTCTCCATGTTGGAAAGCCGATACTATTGACCGTATCATAATCTTGCCGCCAGGTTTACGATATAGACCTTCATAATCCATTGCTGCAAATGTCAATTTTTAAATTAGGAATGATTTTACCGTATAATCAGACAAAAATGCATATTATGTAAAGATACTACCTCTGTTCTCGATAGCAGTAATACATCTTTCGACTAACAACGGTATCTTACGTCCTTCCACTTCCAGCTGTTTGTCAAGGTCGGCCCCAAACACGGTCACCGTAGTCATGTTAACTATTTCTTCAGAATCAGTAGAGAACGTTCCAGGATAACCGGAACATCCAATGGGCAGCGTTCCGACACACTTATTATGACATGCTAGTCCACATGCTATTATTGAGAATCAACAAAATAAGCATAACGTAAAGCGCAGAAGAGGTCGTGACAATTGTATCTTTTTTACCCACCATCACATCTAGCCTCAGTCAACCCCCATATCTTCTCCTGACAACATTCACATTTGACTGGTCTAAAGAACGAAACCTGGTGCCATTTGTGCGATTTATCATTGGAAGACTCGCTTTCTGATCTCTTATGCCCTCCGTTTGCGCTTGAATCGGGATTGCGAGCACTCAAATTATCGGTCGTTTGCATCTTAGTATCTGTACTTGCTACAGGGATAGGTGCAGTAATAATTGGCGTTGTGGCAACAGGTCGAAGGATGTTGAAAACGCTCGCTTTTTTCCATCCGAATCTCTTAGACCATTCTCCTCTTCCAACACGAGTGGCCGTATTATTGGATTCAGAAATATTATCAACTGTATATGGCAACGGACTGCGTGAACGCCCATGCGCACTATTAGACGCTCCATTATCGGAAGGAAGGCTTCCTACAGGTGATTTTGATCTAAAGAGATTGAAGGCATTAATTTTATCTCGTCTTTGATGACCATCAATCTGCCGCGTCAATTCATTATTTAACTCTGCTAAATCTCGATTCTTTGCATTCAATGTTTTTGCTTCTTCTACGAGTTGATCACGATCCCTGCAAAGCTGTTCTGTCTCTTTCTTTAATCTATCACGCTCATTCTGAAGGCGCCTGATATCGATGATGTAGCCTTGCTTTACTTCATCAAGATGGGTAGAAATGTGTTTGGCTAGCGAAGATGGAAGGTCCGTTGGTTTGAACTCATGAGGGTAGGATCTGCGATATGTGATTATTGTAATAATTTATTAGTAAGTATTCCGTCTACCATTGTCTGTAGATATTAAAATTAATTACCTGGCTTGCTTTTCATGCGCCAAGCCCTCAATCTCCTTAATCATTAACTCCCTCTGCAGACTCATCGCCTCCAAATTTTGTTTGGTTTCTTCCAATTCCGAATTCAACGCGTGTGACTCCTCGATAATATTCTCCAGAGCCTCCTTCTCACGAGTCAGCTCTGTATTTCTCCTCGTATGCACTCCTAACTGAGTGCGTAACTGGTGAATCAAAATTTCAGCTTCTTGTCGGAGTTCCACTTCGCGATTAAACTCTTCCTTTGCCACGCTAAATTCTTCCAATGCCTCTTTGCTGACTATCTGTAATATATGAATTCAGATAAGTGCTACAGTAAAACACTCAAACAATAACATAGCATTGAACTTCTCATACTTTGAGCTGTTTATAGCTGTTCTCAACGTCAGCCAGTCTCCTCTTAGTAGCCAAAAGTTCCGTCTTTAACTCCTCCATATCTAGCTCATCCATTTTCTCTTCTTCACGCCCAGTATTGAAGTGTTGTAGATTTCTGTCTGGCAATCTCGCGGAATTATCGTTTTGTCTCTTAACAGAAGATGACGATGATATGCCGAAAAAACTATCTCCAAGATCATTTACAACACTTTTGCTTACAATCTCACTATCAACTTTATCTTTCACACTCCCACGCTCAGCTGTAAATTTCTTCGAAAACCGTTTTCCGACGTCTGTGTTCGAAGTTGCAGTAGCAACAAAATTAATCAGATCGTCCTCATTATTAGTATCAAACGACAGTGGAGGCAATACCGGAGGTCCATTTTCCATGCCCGAAGTAAAACTTTTTGCATGGCGTAGTCCTTTAGAAGGAGCAGATGGACTAATTGGAGATGAGGAGTGAGGCGTTCCCGGAGACTGGGAGCGAGGAGATGGAGGTGAGGCAGATCGAGAGGAGCTCATAGATGATTTTGAGACAGTTGTTGCTGAAGACACCACGCTCGTATCTTCGGGAGATTGGGAAGTAGATTGAGTTGATGGTAAAAGAGAAGTTTGATACTTTTCTCCCCTTTGAGATAAACCAGAATTGGTTTCACGATGGAGTTTATTATCGTTAATTTTATCGTTGATCTTCTCGCTGAATCGGTAAGATGACGCGTGTAGTCTCTGTGATAAACCAAAGTTATCGCTACGTGAACTTGTTAATGAAAATGATCTCGAGCTCTTCCGTGTCTCATTGTGTGTAGAACTTATGGTATTCATTGATGGGCTACGGAAGTGCGTGCCTGACTTTCCGAGCAATGCGTTGCGATTACGTAATAACCGAATGCCATGCAAGGAATCGAATGATTCACTACGCTTTGATGTTTTCTTTGGCTGGTCCGTTGGGATATCATTGTTGTTGCCACCAGGGTTACTACCAATATTCATCCTTCCTGGACTCGTGTGTACGGGAACGTCGACAATCGATTGTTTCGTAAATGTCTCGCTTAGTGACGTTGTATCTATTAATCGCGATTGACGAATGCTAAATGCGTTTTCGACAGGGGGTGTGAGTTCATTTTTGTAAGTCTTGGATGGGAATGTTGAATGAATACTGCGTTTGGAGTTTAAAGGCGGATTTAGGTGAATTGAGTTAGGTGTCTGGTGTGGTGGAGCGGGTCAGTGAGTGATTACAGATGGGAGTAAATTTAATTGTAATTGTAAATAATAATTAATACTCGAGTCCTGAATCATGACATTATATAATAATTGTGAAACCGATTGCTACGTTTATAACTAGCATTCACTAAATGGATAAATGGTAACATAAGTATTCATGTATCTTGCCTTGTTATCATGGGGTAGTGCAGGTAATGATTTCTCCAAAACAAGAGCTGAAAGCATCTGTTTGTCACTCTTCTCTTTATATCGCCTTAGTTTATTCTCTTTCTGACAAGGCATACAATATATTCCCTTCTTAAACAGAAATGCCAGTATTAGTTTTAATCATCGCTTCCTCTTGAACCTCAGCATAACACTCCCAAATATGTATACAGTATTCTTCCTTTTATCCCCTCATAATTTATTGGATTTCTAAGCGCGGATATATAAGCGGATAAAAATATCGGGGAAGATCTAATAGCAAAACGGTCGGAAATATTACCTGACCGGTCTTAACGAAGACTGGCTCCTCTATTTTCGTTTGGCATTGTTCGCATCGGAAGCAATCAACATGAAACATTTCATCGTCTTGGATATTTAAACTTAATGTTAATACACGAAGCATAATAAACAGTGAAGGCAATGTTAAGAGTAATAATATACTTACTATCTATCATCATTGTTATGGATTGCGTATTCAATGTACAAAATCATACTTTAGTTATCTTGTTTTATCTATTGCTATTCTTGATCAACATGCGTTATCGTCCTCTGTTTATAAAATGTCTAATGCTGCTAACCTGTCATTACTGCTTCACCAAGTATTGGCTGTCCGCACATATGACAGTCGTATGAACAGTGTTCACATCTTGGACTTCCATCGGACAGTAATAATATGTTTGAATCATATTCTACCAAATTTTGGCATTTCGCACATCTAAAGCTATTTATATGAATGAAAAATTATAGAGAGGCACATTTAATGTCAGTATAAAAAGATAGTCCTGCTACTATTTGTCATTGATTTATTAACATCAAATTTTATGATAATTCTTGTTAGGTAGTCATCCCTTGCTGTCGAGTAGATATACGCTATCACGTACCAATCGATATGCCAGAGTCCCTCTCCAAAGGCTACGACCCTGCCCTCCTCGATCAGTAAGTCACAACCCGAGCAGACCGAGTCGACCACGTCGTCAATCGTCGGGCTTATATTTGCATCAGTCATGTTAATTGTATTACGCGTGTAGTGTCTATTAAATTATATACAGATATTATGAGAACGAGGAGACTATTTATTATTATAGTCTCCGCAATTCTCGGAGACAAAATTGCAGAATGTAGATCAAACGACACGGGTACTGTTTAGGATTTTGTTTTGTCATACCAAGTTGAGATTAACAATGGAGTGTTTAAAGACAGGTTATTGTATGTTCAACCAATAGACGTGTTGTCCTCACATGACGCCAAATATGCTAGGTCCTATTAATCACATTATGGGATGCTAACTGAAAGGCGCCTAAAAAGGTTAAATAGAAATTTCAAAAATGTGGATATATTAATATGTTTATCGTTTAATGTAGAACTAACTACAGGAGAGAATGTACGTATGGTTTGCAGAGTGCAATAAAGAGCTTTGCTTAAAGGCCTCGTATAAGCCATGGGATATACTGTCGAGTGTGTGGGCAGTACAATTTATTGCTTAGTATTAGTACACTCCATCATCTCCTACAAAATTATGTGGTTGTAATTCCACGGCGTCACTCATCAAATGGGTTTAATCTATAAGCGTAATCTTCGTTCACTCTCAGACATTCCTTTCTTAACATAAAACAATCTGCTCTTCAAGCTTGACATCTTTGTCACCGTCTATGTTTGCCTCGATCATCATAGTTTGTGGTCGCCTTGTATTAGGAATGTTTCCTCTAAAAAAATATTCACTGATCGATGCTTGTTTGGTCTGAGTGTTGACACTGTCTTCTTATGGGGCAATGCCAAATGCTTGCCTACTTGATTTTTGCCTCTAACGATACCATTAGCTGGTTTTATCTATCGATTTAAATTACTGGAAATCCTTTCCACTATTACATTGAAGCAAACTGCAACCTGAAACATAAAAAAAGCCTTTTTTCTTGATGAGAAATGAGACCTACTTTATCGGCTAAGTTTTTAGGTGACCCGGCATCCAAACTGACGAAATGATGGATGTAAGTTTATACGACTCGCACTGTATAATGGTAAAGGGCCAGCGTGTATCTTCGTTTTATATACGTCTATAGTGAAATTTGTTTCTAACGAATTGTGCTGAACCTCGCACTTCCTTCTTTTCGATTCTTTTCTCTTTGCTTTTCTAGTGCATTCGTCACACAGTGCACCTTACATTGTTGGGAAGCGGTTGTCACTGAGCATAGTTATTCGGTGACAGAACTTGACTAATATTGTTCTATTTAATCGAAAGTAAGTCGTTGGTTGTCACTACAGTCCTAAATATGTGTAGCAACAGTTGTTCTACTTGATCAAAGAAAACTAGGGGTCCATCATTACATAAATCGTGTTCATCGTTATTATTTTCATGTCTATCCATATCAATATCAATCTCTACCTCATAGTATCCATCTATTATTTTACTCTCTCTAATCCATTCTTCGTATTCATTTGTCATTACTACTTTCCCGAATTGTAATATCAGGCGTTTTATGCATTCTTTTACTATAATACGATAAGTGTCCATTCCATCATCCTTCTCTTCATTAATTGGATCTCCACTAAGGAAATTTTCCGTAAAGAATCTGTATATCTTTAAAATGTCTCCAAGAATTCTCATTTCATTAAACCTCACATGATTGCCTCTAATATGTTCAAGCATCCATCTCTCGCACCATTGCTTTGGATAGTCCATTATATACTTATCGGAGAAACTCCATAAACCAAGAATGTCGTCCAAAGCCATTGTGTCTGCCGCGACATCACAAACATGATTGCATGAAACTGCTTTCAATATGAAATCTGAGAAAGTGATAAGACATTCTGCGGTTACTTCTTCAAGCGTAATTCGTGATTGGGAGGACTCGACAAAGTATCCATTCAACATTCTAGCAAATGCCTCAGAGACATTACAAAGCAGTTGACGAGACACTGGAATTTCTACACTGTCACTTTCATTTGCGATTACTATTACA